GGAACCGATGATACTGAAGGAAGAAGTCCAAGCTGCACTGAAGGCATTGATGAAAAACAAGCCTCCAGGAATTGATGGAATACCAATTGAGATGTTTCAACAAACGGATGCAGCTCTGGAAGAGCTCACTCGTCTATGCCAAGAAATTTGGAAGACAGCTACCTGGCCAACCAACTTGAAGAGATCCATATTTATGCCTACTGCCAAGAAAGGTGATCCAGCTGAATGTGGAAATTATTGAACAATATCATTAATATCACATGCAAGTAAAATTTTGCTGAAGATAATTCAAAAGCAGCTGCAGCAGTATATCGACAGGGAACTGCCAGAAATTCAAGCCAGATTCAGAAGAGGATGTGGAACTAGGAATATCATTGCTGATGTCAGATGGATCCTGGCTGAAAAGCAGAGAATACCAGAAAGATGTTTTCCTGTGTTTTATTGGCTATGCAAAGGCATTTGACTATGTAGATCATAACAAATTATGGATAACATTGTGAAGAATGGGAATTCCAGAACACTTAATTGTGCTTATGAGGAACCTGCATATAGATCAAGAGGCAGTCATTCGAACAGAACAAGGGGATACTGTGTGGTTTAAAATCAGGAAAGGTGTGCATCAGGGTAGTATCCTTTCACCATACCTATTCAATCTGTATGCTGAGCAAATAATCCAAGAAGCTGGGCTATATGAAGAAGGGCGTGGCATCAGGATTGGAAGAAGACTCATTAATGACCTCCAATATGCAGACAACACAACCTTGCTTGCTGAAAGTGAAGAGGACTTGAAGCACTTACTGATGAAGATCAAAGACCACAGCCTTCAGTATGGATTACACCTCAACATAAAGGAAACAAAATTCCTCACAACTGGACCAATAAGCAACATCATGATAAACGGAGAAAAGATTGAAGTTGCCAAGGATTTCATTTTACTTGGATCCACTCCTGGAAGCAGCAGTCAAGAAATCAAATGATGCATTGCATCGGGCAAATCTGCTGCAAAAGACTGCTTTGAAGTGTTGAAAAGCAAAGATATCACCTTAAAGACTAAGGTGCACCTGACCCAAGCCATGGTGTTTTCATTTGCCTCATATGCATGTGAAAGCTGGACGATGAATAAGGAAGACTGAAGAAGAATTGATGCCTTTGAATTATGGTGTTGGAGAAGAGTATTGAATATACCATGGACTGCCAAAAGAACTATCAAATCTGTCTTGGAAGGAGTGCGACCAGAATGTTCCTTGGAAGCAAGGATGGCGAGACTATGTCTCACATACTTAGGACATGTTGTCAGGAGGGATCAATCCCTAGAGAAGGACATCATGCCTGGTAAAGCAGAGGATCAGCAAAAAAGAGGAAGCCCCTCAATGAGATGGATTGACACAGTGGCTGTAACAATGGGCTCAAACATAGCAACGATAGTGGTGAGGATGGCGCAGGACCAGGCAGTGTTTCGTTCTGTTGTACATAGGGTCGCTATGAGTCAGAATCAACTCGATGACACCTAACAACAACATATTTGTTTTTTAGTGTTTTTTTTTTTTCCTTCAGTTTATATTTTAAACTCTTATTTGATTAAACTCCAATTGGATGGAGACTAATGGTAGTAAATATCAGAATATATTTTCAAATTATTGTGACATATGGCCTTATAATTTTGGATTTTATAACAAAGCAATTTGACTTCTGTCCCATTCATTTGGATAATGTTATACTATCGAAGAAACTCAAATGTGTTTTTAAAATATGACATGCTTCAGCTTGTGTACGTGTTAGAGACAGGGAAAAAGAAAACAGATTGCCTGGCGTTTGAAAGAAGCAAAATGAATGTAATTCTTTTTAAAATGTACAAATTCTGTACTCTATATAAGTGATTTTTTTAAGGTAAGAATAATATCTTGATTTTTTACCACATTAATTTCATCTCAGTTACGCTGTTTACACTTAAACTGAGCTGCACATCACAAATAACGGGCAGATATGTACAATATAATGCACGTTGTTCCTCCCAGCTGTGCACGTATGGTTTGTCATTCTGTGCTGACAGTTATGTGAATTTAGTAAAAGCTATATTCCACTGTGTACTAGAATCTTTGGTTTTTTAAGCAGGTTTTTATGTACTTCCCCTTTACTGCCTCCATAAAGAGAAAAGAAAAGAGCAGAAGGTAAAGATACAAATGAACCAAAGTGAAATGTGCCTTTGTACAGGAGAAAGGAAGAGGCAAAACTGCAGCAGAGAGGCTGAGAGCACAGGCGCACCACTGTACATTCGTGTATCTCGGTGACCAATTTTTCTTATAAGCAAGAGAAACTAAAATGATGGAGTGTGGTCCTGTGTACTCAGCTAAGTTTTTCAAAAACTTCCTCATACACACAAAAGACAAAGCCTTGAGAATTTACTGGTATGCATTTACTTATAATACTTCTGGCTTTTATCATGAATGCCGCTGAAAAATCTCCGTATCTCTTTCTTTATTCTCTGTGGTGTTTTAAAAGGTAAACATTGCCGAGAAAAAAACCACTAAGTGATAAAGGAATGGTCCATTTTAGCCAAGGCATGTTTATAATGGCTACAAAATACACAGTATTTGATTTAAGGGACTGAATACATTAAGTGCTTGAAAAATATGTAGAAGAAAAAAAAAGATTGTTGAATAGCTTTAACCCATTGCCGTCGAGTCGATTCCAACTCATAACAACCCTATAGGACAAAATAGAACTGCCCCATGGGGTTTCCAAGGAGTGGCTAGTGGATTCAAACTGCCGAACTTTTGGTTAGCAGCCGAGCTCTTAACCACTGTGCCACCAAGGCTCCAAGTTTACCTTAATTACTTAAAATATGCATAATTTAAAATTCTCTTTGACAGTTTCTTTTCTTAAGTTCAGTGTTTCAACTGCAAGTAAAAATTTGAGATGTTTTCGATGAACTAATATATTGTTGTTGTTAGCTGCCATCGATTCAGCCCCTGACTCGTGTTACAGAGTAGAACTGTTCCATAGGGTTTTCTTGGCTGTAAATCTTTATGGAAGCAGTTCACCAGGAGTTCCTTGGAGCCACTGAGTGGGTTTGAACTGCCAGCCTTTAGATTAGCAGCCAATCGCAAACTGCTTGTGTCACTCAGGCTCCTAAACTAATACATTAGAGCCTCCAAATTTTCCCTTCTTCGTAATCCCAAATGACCAACATCTTAATTAATAATAGGTATAACTGTCATGGAGAAAAATTATCTTTGGAGTGTTTATTTCATCTCCTAGGAAAAGAGATTAAATGCTGGCCCTTGGGCTATCATACTGAGATGCAGGACCTTTCTCCCAATGTTTTTATGTAAGTACAGTTTGGTTCCTTGTCATCTAACCAAATTTTAATTTTAAGGGATGGCTTCCCAAAGAAAGAGTGGGAGATAACCACAAAAAGGGTTAAGTATACACCAAGGATGAAGTACATGTAGAAATGGAATGAGGCACTGACTTTGCCTTGGTATCAATGTGGTGTGTTTTATGGATTGATCTAAATAAGCCAGGAGTGGGAGGCATTTCGTTCTCCAGGGCTACTTCCTCCAGTCATTTCAAACCTGCCCAATCCCCAGTTCCTGTTGTGAGACTTCTTTCAGAGCTCCGGGTTGTGCCACAGTCACAGGCTCCTTTAACTCAGGGCTACCAATCTCCTTATCAACATTTTATTTATTATCTGCTCTGTAATGGATAATTGTCCTTTTCTTGAAAATGTCAGTACGTCTTCATAATCAATAAATTAAAATGAATTTATCAGAATATAGGTTGATGGGCAACATCATAAAGCCTCATTTTTTTCAATTTTGGTTATTAATATGATCCTAAATGCAAAAACCCTGGTGGCATAGTGGTTAAGAGCTACGGCTGCTAACCAAAATGTCAGCAGTTAGAGTCCACCAGGAAAGCCTATGGGGCACTTCTACTCTGTCCTTATAGGGTAGCTATGAGTCAGAATTGACTACACGGCAACGGTTTTGGTTTTTTGGGGTTTGAAATGCAAAAATGTGTCAAATGTAAATTTTAAAGTAGTGTTCATGTTATTGGGGCCTCAAATGTGTTTTTATTGTCTTGTTTAACTCTATTACTGTGATACAATTTAAGTGGATTTTTAACACATAGTCAAGATGCTCTGTATACCTTATTGCTTAGACTATCTCTTATTTGAAATAACTCCAAACATTAAAAAACATAATTAAATTGTCTTCCTCTCATTAACATGATCTAATTTTTATTTTTACTATTTTATGGGTTTTTTTAATTATTAAAAAACAAGGATTATAGAAAGTACAATGTTCTTCAAAGGAGATTTAGGCTTTTCAATTGTGAAAAAAAATGTTAATACATTAATGGATAACTGTGGTCTTATTATATTAGAAACAATAACTTTAACAAGTGATTATGCTTACATTACTAAAATTATTTATTTCAATAATCATGACTTTGATCTTTGATGTTTAATTTGTAAACACAACATTCACATGCACAATGATATGCTGGTTTCATCCATGTTAACCTCTGCCTACAATTAACAACCTAATTTGAGCAAGGGGAAGATGGGCTAAAGAATTTTAACTTACATCAGAAGTTGCCATGCTCACTTGTTCCTCCAATTTAAAGCTCTACTTTCCTATTAGTGAGACATTTTAAATAGAATTTCTTGTAATACAATTTCATAAGTTTCATGGAATAAAAAAAAAAAAAAGAACAGTCATAGTAGAGATTCTAAGCAGTCGTCCTCCATTTTTTTATGTGATCAAAAGCTGTAAAAGTAGAAAAAGGATTATTTAAATGCATTCCTTCCTGAAATATTCCCAGACCCCATTTAAATCACTAGCACCTCAATCCTGGGTTCACCACATTGCAAATTAATTTACTTCTGAAATTTTATTTGTCTACTCATTCATTTTATAAGCCTAAATTGTATGCTTCGAAGATAATTTTTTGCATTCAGATTAATCACGATTGTTTCTCCTTCATATACCCAGTGCAGCTGCTGAAGCTGATGGCATTGATTCATTAATAAATACACTGTCTAGTAAGCGAGATGGAGCAGTTGCAAACGCGGCCACAGTACTGACAAACATGGCAATGCAGGAGCCCCTGCGTGTGAGCATACAGAGTCACAACATCATGCACGCAATCATCAGCCCGCTGCGTTCGGCAAACACCATCGTTCAGAGCAAAGCTGCCCTCATGGTTGCTGCAACTGTGTGTGATGTTGAGGCCCGGACAGAGGTGAGAGGTGTAATATCATTTGTCTTCTTATTGTTCCGGTCACTACCTATTGATGGATTGATTTGAAACGTTTTTAAGTGTTTGGACTACCCATCATTTAAGTTGTCAAAATTGGTGTAACACTTTGGAAAACAAATTGGCATTATCTAGCAAAGAAGGTGAGCATATCCTATAACCTGGTAATTCTATTTCTAGGTATGTACCTAAGAAAATCTCTTGCTTCTGTGTACCAGGAAGCATTGTTTATAATAGCAAAGTAACTGTAAACAAACCAGTTGTTCAGTTGCTAAGAGCATGAATAAATTAATTGTGATATATTCATAAAATGGAATCTCACATTAGTGAAAATGAATGAACTAGAGCTACAAACATCAACATGGATGAACCTCACAAGCATAATGCTGAACAAAAACAAGTTGCAGAAGAACACATACAATATGATTCCATTTATACAATATTCAGACATATGCACAGCTTAACAATATGCTGCTTAGGAATACATACATATAAGTTACAGCTATAAAGAAAAGTAAGAGAATGATTAACCCCAAATCCAAGAAAGGGGCTGCCTCTGATGGGGAACTCAGGGACTAATATGATTGAGAGCAGCACACAGGGGTTCAAGGTCACAGAAACGTGCATCTGTTAAGGTGGGTGGTAGGTAATCAGGTGCCTTCTACTATGATCCTTTACACGTATGGGTTTTATATACTCTTTTTCTTAAATTTCATAATTGTAAAACATAGAATTGCATTTATAAAAATCCATTGTATAAAAAGTTGTCTTTGGTATTGTGGTTGATCCTATTAACTCTTCATGAAGACTTAACATAAGCCTACAAACATGCTATTTTAGCTCACTTTTCTTATATTTACTTGTCACCATGGCACTCATTCAAACAGTCCTGGATTTTATTCCTCTCTCTCCATTAAATAACACTAGCTAACATTTATCGAGCACTTACTATGTGCCAGCCACTGTGCTGCATTTAAGTCTCATGTGAAATAGGTACGTTTATAATTCTCATTTTACATATGAGGAAAATGAGGTTTAAAGAAATAAAGAATGTGCTCAAAATGAGGTTTAAAGAAATAAAGAATGTGCTCAAAGCAGAGCTGGTAAGTGGCAGATCAGGGATATAAAAGCATCTTTCTGATTCCAGAGCCCAAGCACTCACGCTATGCTGTCTGTTCTGACAGTATCAAATCTTTTCTGTCTCTTAGATATCTATCCTGTTACCTGGTCTTCCTTTCCTTTGACTCAGCTCATCTGTGTTCATCCATTCAGTTAGTAAGTTAGTCGCCAAATATTTATTTACCAACTACTACATACTGGGCACCCTGCCAGGCACCAGGAGCAGTGATAAACAGAGGTGTCATGGCCACTACGTTCATGAAGCTTGCAGACTAGTCCATCTATATCCTGAAATCTTCCGACAGATTCTGTTGCGGTCTCTATCCCTGCCAACTCCTACTGTCCACACTGCCTCCACTCTGATCTTTCAAATATGTGAAACTGATCACACCACTGCCCTACTAAAAAGCCCCAATGGCTCGCCATTGCCAAGTGGTAAAACTGCAGTTGCTTAGTGCAGTATGCAAGGGCCCTTGATGATCTGCCTCTACCTTCCTGAACAGCCTAAGGTCCTGCTCTTCCCAGGAGGAACTCTATGCTCCAGAATTACAATACTGCTTGTAATTCCCTGAGCATATTGTGTTCTTTTATTTATATCTCATTGATTTCTCTGCTTGGAAGGCTAGTCTTTTCATCTAATATAGATATTCATGCCCATTCCAAAGAAAGGTGATCAAAATTATAAAACAATATCATTAATATTACATGCTAGCAAAATTTTGCTGAAGATAATTCAAAAACAGCTATAGCTGGACATTGACAGGGAACTGCCAGAAGTTCAAGCTGGATTTAGAAGAGGATGTGGAACAAGGGATATCATTGTTGATGTCACATCCATCCTGGCCTAAAGCAAAGAACACAAGAAAAATGTTCACCTGTGTTTTATTGACTACATGAAGTTATTTGACTGTGTGGATCTTAACAAATTATGGATAACATTACAAAGAATGGGAGTTTCAGAACACTTAATTGTACTCATGAGGGAGCTGTACATAGATCAAGAGGCAGTTGTTCCTACAGAACAAGAGGATACTGCAAGGTTTAAAATTGGAAAAAGTGTGTGGCAGGGTTGAATCCTTTCACATTACTTAATCAATCTATATGATAAGCAAATAATCGGAGAAGCTGGACTACAGAAAGAAGAACACAGCATCAGGTTTGGAGGAAGATGCATTAACAACCTGTAGTATGGAGATGACACAATCTTGCTTGCTGACAATGATAACTCAAAAATCCTCTGGGCCCATAAACAACATAATGGTAAACAGTGAAGAAATTGAAGCTGTGAAGGATTTCATTTTACTTGGGTCAACAATCAACACCCATGGAAGCAGCAGTCAAGAAATCAAACGATGTATAAACCAAAAAAAAAAAAAACCCGTTGCTATTGAGTCGATTCCAACTCATAGCAACCCTAGACAATGAGAAAGGAAGACCAAAGAAGAATTGATGCATTGGAATTGTGGTGCTGGTGAAGAATATTGAATATACCACAGAATGCCAGAAGAACAGACAAATCTGTCTTGGAGAAAGTACAGCCAGAATGCCTTTCCTCAGTCCTCGAACTTGGGTGCACTCTTCCATTGCACACTATGCATGTCTCTCTTATCCTTCTTTTTGCATGTCATTGTTCTTGTCTAAAACACTATAAGCTCCTTGGAGCTTTAGGGCATGGAACTGAGGATTTTATTCTCTGTGTTCGTGGCATTAATATATACCTTACACATACTGTGTGCTTAATTAACAGTCGCTAAATGAATGAGTGAATGAAGGAAGGAATAAATGAATTAGATCTTTGCCAAAAGAACACATTGAGTTAGATTACCATCTTGTATTATACCCAGAAATAGACATGTTCAGATTTTGGCTTGCTAAGCACAGGATGCTTCAAGTGAGCTTTTCCAAGCTGCACAAGTTATAGACGAACATGAAATTGCTGCCAGAAGTTTCTGTGTTTTAGATGAGAATGACTGAAAGTGGAACATATTGCACAGGGCTCTTGTCTGGATATTACATATACACACTGATAGAATACTCTTTTTATACTCTAGGCTCAGATAATACAATATTGCATTTCAAACAGAGAGGCAGGAGTGCTGTCAGATTTTTTTTCTGATAGGAATAATTTTATACATAAGCAATTTTTCTTAATAATGTAATTAATGAAGTTTATTTAACTAGTGGTTCTATCTTTTGGTTCTTTTTCTTCTCTTCTTCAAAGAGAAAACAAGATAGTCAAGGATAATAGAAATGTGTCTTTTTCTGCAGAATTACTTCAGTTTTGCTTTGGCCACACTACTGACCTGGTGGTAGTGCCCAGTGGTCCCCCAGTGGCCCAAGTGATGCTTGCTTGCCTCGGTTCCTCCTGCCCCAGCCTTGGAGTCTGTGTTAGTTTCCTATGGCTTCTATAACAAACTACCACAAATTCAGTGGCTTAAAGCAACACTAACATTACCTTATAGTTTGGGAGGTCAGAAGTCCAAAAGTGCATCTTATGGACTAAAATCAAACTATCGGCAGAGCTGTATTCCTTCTGAAGGTTTTAGGGTAAACCCGCTTCCTTGCCCTTTTCAGCTTCTAAAAGCTGCCTGCATTCCTTGGCTGGTGGCCCCCTCTTCCATCTTCCAAGCACATCACTCTAACCTCTGCTTCCATCACATCTTTTTTTCTTCTTCTTCTGATACTCCATTCCCTCTTGTCTAAGAACCCTTGTGATTTATTAGGCAAAAGCACATAATCCACGATAATCTCCCTATCTCAAATCCTTAACTTAATCACATCTACAAAGTCCTTTCCAAGGATTAAAAAAAAAAAAAAAAAAAACCAAACCCATTGCTGTCAAGTGGATTCCAATTCATAGCAACCCTATAGGATTAGGATGTGGATATTTTTGGTGGACCATTAATGTGTCTATTATAGGGTCAAATGAACATTCAGTGTTGAGAAGTAAAGTGATAGGCATTTGTAGGCATGTTCTCTCCTCAGTCCTTGCCCCATGTAAAATCATGATCACCTTCTATGCCTTGACTCTTGCCTCTTTTCTTTACTTCATACATAAAACTGGGCTCCTGACTATTAGGTTTCTCAATAGACGGATTTTTTTTTTTTTTCTCAGTTTAATCAATCCAAGTAAGGACACATTGTAAAATGTTTTACATACTTAATATCTTTTAACAATCAAATAATGAGACTTTTTAAGCATAAGTACTTATACTCTATACTCTTAATGTGTAAAATTTTGGTTTCTGCTTTTAGTTAAAAAATGCAGGTGGACTGGAGCCCCTTGTAGAGCTCTTGCATTCCAAGAATGATGAAGTCAGGAGGCATGCCAGCTGGGCTGTGGTGGTCTGTGCCAATGATGAGCTGATGGCCACTGAGTTGTCCAGGCTCAGGTGAGTGCATGCTGTCACAAGTGTCTGGCTAAGATGGAGGGCAGAAAAAGAAGCAGCAGCCTCTCCCTCCCCAAGGAAAGTTAAGCAGAGTATGTGCTGCCACTGTCAATCTGCTAAGTGCTCAGGAGCCCTGCGTGCGCACCACGCGGAGGGACTGCTGAGAGAAGGGGGTGACCGTCCCCACTGCCCCACCTCCAAGACCTCCCCCAACACCTTTTACAAAAATCACCCTCTGCCTTTCTTTTTCCTCTTGATAAATGCTACTCTTCATCTTCCTCTGCTAGTGACCAACAAAGTCCTATTTGTTTCTTAACTTCCAAGGCTAAAATAGAATGGTGATTACTACCTCTGTGTTCTCCCCGCCCCCGATCCCACACCTCTTTAACCGAATTCCACACTTAGCCACCCTCACCAAATCAGTTCTCCTTATGAATAGCACATTAATTTGTTATCTTGAGCATATCAGCGAATAGAATTTTAAGGCTCCACAGGCAGGTTTACACTATTAATTTCTAATCATTTTCATTTTTTGTATATATTGCCTGATGAGCTGAAAGAGTTGGGTCCAATACTGACTTTGCTGTAAGTGAGCAAATAACTTTTTTTTCTCTGGGAGTATCCTTTTCAATGGTTTATGAGTTACTACATGGTGTATGCCCTCAAAAAGGGCTGTTTTGCTTTCATAACTCTGTCAGTATTACTTTATCCAAAAGGGTGGGTGGGAGAGGCTTTAAACTTTCCATCTCAATTCTTCATTCAGGATTGTAAGTGATTATATAAGTGGGAGCCTAATGTTGGATTGTTTATACAAGGCAAATAATGCTTTCTGGTTTTATTGACAGGGCTTTAGATATCCTTGAAGAAATTAATCTGTCAGTAAGTCGAAAAAATAAATTCAGTGAGGCAGCTTATAACAAATTGCTCAACAACAATCTTCCCCTGAAATATAGCCAGACTGGCTATTTGTCATCATGTAACATAATTAGTGATGGATTCTATGACTGTGGTCGGGTAAGTGGCAACACTTATTTGTATTTTAGTATGTATGGTGATAATTTTTTCTTAAGTGATAATGCTATTATATTGCAATTTTACAATCACCTATTTATTATCAGGAGGGATCAGTCCCTGGAGAAGGACATCATGCTTGGTAAAGTAGAGGGTCAGTGAAAAAGAGGAAGACTCTCAACAAGATGGACTGACGCAGTGGCTACAACAGTGGGCTCAAGCGTAACAACGATTGTGAGGATGGCGCAGGACAGGGCAGTGTTTCTTTCTGTTGTGCGTAGGGTCGCTATGAGTTGGAACAGACTCGACTGCACCTAACAACAAAAACATATTTATATTTTTATAGACAGGAATTTGGAAATCATCACTTTGTCTATAACTTTGTCTATTTTGCATTTTTGTGCCCTTTTAACAAGAATCTGATTATTTGTAGTTAAATTCGCTTGCTAATGCTAGCCTCAAATTTCAAATAAGAAATAAAAGAAGGAGCATTTTTACTGTGGGAATTTTATTACTTCTAGTATTTAGTATCACTATGAGTCAGAATCGACTTGAGAGCAATGGGTTTGAGGGCTTAGTATTAGTGATAAGGATAGGAATATGTTTTTCATTTTATTAATTTTAACATATTAAAATTAATCAGATTATATAATGGATTTAAAAATGTAATGGAAAAGAATATCAATTTAGTCAACTGCATTTTTTATGACATTTTTAAAACAATATGCAGTGTTATGCAATGTTAATGTTAGGAGAAATGGGAAGTTAAAAATTCAAACCTTTGAGTGTATTTTGAACATAGTTGCTAAGTCAGCATTTTCCACTTCTTCTAGAAATCAAAAGCAACAAGGAGAATAGGGAAAATAAATAAAAGAAACTCCCAAATCCCATTTTAGGCAAAACCAGGAAACAGATATGATCCACAAACTTCAAAAAACTTGGAAGGCTGCAAACAGCCCCTGAGATCAGGAAGAATCTGTGCAGGAGAAAGAAATGAAAAAGAAAAAAAAAAAAAAAATCAAAAAATGCACAAGTGGGGCAAGAGAGCTAGTGGTGGCAGTCTCAGAAAGCACCACAAAAAAATATACTTCCTGAGATGATGAGAGAATTCAGAAGCAAAAGCTATATTCCTTGTTTGCCAGGTGGGTGCAGGAATTCAGGAACCGGGGTGAGCGAGGATGGCAGCAGAAGCCCTTTTTGAATGGTTTGGTTCAAAGAAGCAGAAGAGACAGAGCCATAAAAGAATCACATAGCTGATAGCTGAGCTGTGCTTGCAGGAAGCACATAGTGTGGCAGCAGACTTAAGGAACTTTTGAATAATAAAAACAGCCAAACTAGAACTTAACTTGGGCTCTTTCTCCTATCTTGCCCCTCCCCCACACCTCCCATAACACACACACAAACCACCGAGAAATCTCTGGTCCAAGGAAGCCAAACTCATTCAAAGATAAATAATTTAATAAAAATTGGCACAGAACACTATGAAGATACAAAAAAAAAAAAAAAAAAAAAAAAATTCCTGTTGCCATCAAGTCGATTCTGACTCATAGCGACCCTATAGGACAGAGTAGAACTGCCCATAGGGTTTCCAAGGGGTGGCTGGTGGATTTGAACTGCCGACCTTTTGGTTAGCAGCCATAGCTCTTAAACCACTGTGCTACCAGGGCTAGTTACTTTAAGAAAAATGAGGAAAAAGAGCAGAAAAACCAACAAAGAACATTTACCAGAAAAATGTTGCCATAGAACAGATAAAATTGTGACAAGATATATTTGGTCACAAATTTTTAAAAAACTTAATGTGACAGTTTCTTCTATAAAGGAGAAATCCCTGATCTATTCATTCAGTAATTATTAAGTTTCTAATATGGGAGGCTTCAAATATGTCAGTGAACAAAATAGACAAAGATCTCCACTCCCATGGTACTTGGATTGCAGTGGGAGGAGACAATAAACAACAAATCTAATAAGTAAATTATAATATGATAGAAATAACTAGTACTAAGGGGGAAAAAGAAAGCAGAGCATAGTCAGGATAAAACCAAAACCACACCCATTGCCATCGAGTCGATTCCAACTCATAGCAACCCTATAGGACAGAGTAGAACTTCCCCATAGAGTTTCCAAGGAGCGCCTGGTGGATTTGAACTGTCAGCCTTTTGGTTAGCAGCTGTAGGTAACACTTAACCACTACGCCACCAGGGTTTCCATAGTCAGGATAAGGGAATTCTATAGTGCTGGGAGTACTGGGATTGGTGGTTGCAATTTTGAAGGTTATGTTTAGTTTGGCCTCACTGAGCAAAAATTTGAAGGAGGTGAGGGATACGGCCATGGGAATACCTGGAGAAAGAGCCCTCTAGGCAGAGGAAACAGCCAGTACAAACACACTTTACAGTGTAAACATGACTGATGTTTAAAGAACAGCAAGCAGGTCAGTGTAGCTAGAGCTGAGTGAACAAAGGGGAAGACCAGTAGAGCCGGAATCAGAGAGATAAAGGGAAGCCGGATCATGCAAGTCTTGCAGACCTTTGCAAAGGCTTTGGCCTTTACTCTGAGTGAAATGGGAAACTAGGCAGAAGAATGGCATGATCTGTCTTATTTTAAAAATATCACAAGAAGTGTCTTGGATGAGATAGGGATCTAATTATAATGATTGAGAAAAGATCTCAGAAGGTGATCTGATCTAAACCTCTCCTCTCTGGGCTGGCAAAATTGCCAGTATACGGCTTTGTCTAGCTGGTTTTAAACATCCTGGAAACATTTTTAGAAATCTGTTTCAGTATTTATTTACTTTTACAGACAATGAATTCTCTCCTATGAGTATAAATGGATTTGCAAAATCAAATGCTTTCAGGAGCCAGGCTGATAATTATGGTGTGAAGCAGCTGAGTATGAAGCAGTGGCGATTGTGGGGAATTGGAGGGATAGATACATCTTGCCCAAAAGCAAGGATGTCCACAAGCTTGATTCCACTGTGGGCCTTCAGGTTCCTATTTGTAATCTACAGTTTATCATTCTGTCTCTCTCTGTCTATATATATGTATGTATGTGCGTGTGTATGTGAAATTAGACATCTTAAACAGTTGAGAACATATTCTATCAATATTCATTGAAAAAATATGAGCCATGCAGGTATTACTTTTCAGTCCTCAAATTATCTTACAGATAAATCGTGGAACCAAACTTTTGTCATTGAAGGAGCTTTCCTTACAAGAACCAAATGATCAGCGTGCAATACTCTTAATTAACAGTAAATATGATGTGTGAGTCTTTGGGGGAGGAGGGATGCAGGGAAGCGTATTTGTTTTTTGTTTGTCCATTAACATGTAAATATGTAAATCCTCCCAGTATGATATTTTTTCTTTCCTCTGCATCTAGCACCACCATGAAAATAAACACTGGTCCATAAGCTCATAGCTTGACATAGTAGAGACAGTGGAACAAGTCGCACCACAAATTCGACATATTCTAGCTATTGTCATTTGACTCCATGTTACCAGTCAATTCCGAATGTATTTCTGCAGTCAGAGCCTCTTACCTTTCTGCTAACATGGAGTAAGTGAAGAAAGTATAGATAGATAGGAGCAAACCAAGATGATTTATGTTGACAAGTTTCCAGAGCTGTGTACTGGGGTATAACTATTGTCCAGCATTAGTTTTTGAAAAAAGTAAACAGTAGAGCTAAAAATGAAAGCTTCAACATTCTTCTTCAAAATGGTCATGTGTATCTATATAAAATCTATATATTGTGTGATACATTTTATAAAAATGTTTCCTGTTCTAGCTCATGAAAAGCTTTATAACACATCCATTTTGTCTTATCTTGACCTCTCTTTTATGCATTTTAAATGATATGTCACTGTTAAAATCAGCTTCATCAGTATGATTTTCAGAAAAAATCTGCCTGCTTTGTGGGACACAAGCTAATATTGACAAATCATTTTAATTTGTATATAATTTCAAATGTGTAAAATTTTAGTTCTCCACCTCTGTCTATGGAAGATAAATCATCAGACATTGGTTATGGACGAAGTATTTCTTCCTCATCTTCCTTAAGGAGAGCAAGTAAAGAAAAGACCAGGTAAGACAATTACAATTTATATCTGATAATTATCCCCTTAATTTGTCTGAATCTAAAAGTGCTCAGATTATAGATTTTGACAACTTAATTTTTATTCTTATTATGGTAATATAATGACATAATTGCTTTTTAAATTTTTGAGGAAAAGATCACTAGAAAAGGGTTGGGAAATGTGGTTTCACATTCTGTTTGCTATGGGCCTATGGTGAGATTTTGAGCACATGACTTAGTGTCTGTGGCAGCAGGCTTAGTTTCCTTATCTGTAAATAAGATAATGCCTGTTCTCTATGCCTCATAGTGGGGAAAGGAATTAAAGCATATAGTGGAAGTAAAAATGCTCATTAAAAAAAATACTTTATTAACTATAAAATGCCTTACAAATGTAATGTGTTGCTATTTTCTGTATGATTGAAATTCGTTGTGGTTTTTTTCAAAATGACAAGAAAAAGTAGTTATCATTTTAGTGCTGGAGTTGGATCTCCCACAGAAGAGAAATCAGAACCTACTTCTGGACGAAATACTGTTCTTAGCAAAAGTGCCACGAAAGAAAAAGGATCAAGGTAGGGCACGTGTATTATATTCTCCTCCTAATTATAATCTCCACAAGTTTCAGTGACCCAGCAAGGTTAGTGAAAGGGAGGTGTGGCTTTTAAATAGGAGGTTTTCTTATTAATATGTTGAACTAAGCAAGACTCATGAAATGCAACTTAAAGGCAACTTTATTTTTGTCTCTCACTGTGTCTTTAAAACTTATCCAGAGGAAGTTCTTTTCCTGCATCTGAACAAAACTCAGGTCACTCTGATCACACTATAAAGTCCTACAGTCACTTTAATTCAAAAATGAGAACAGACATATGTGCATCTATGTTCTCACAGCACTATTCATAGTAGCAAAAAGATAGAAACAACCTAAGCGCCCATCAGTGGATAAATGGATAAGTAAAATGTAGCATATACAAACAATGGAATACTACTCAGCCATAAAGAAAAACAATTCTTGAAACATCTTGGAACATGGATCAACCTGCAGGACATTATGTTGAGCGAAATAAGTCAATAACAGATATTCTGTCTTCTCACTTTTATGATATACAGAAACTAATGTTCATGGCGGGGGTTCACTCTCTGGATAGTAGGCACTTGTTATTTTTAGTGATGGGAAAGGTAACACCTAATGAGGGTGAAGTGTGCACAGCTTGAGGAAGGTAAACAATATCACTACAAAGTACACAAGAGAAAAGGACCTGTTGGTAATTGCTATGACATATATAATTTTGAAACAACAGCAAAAACAACCAAAAAATATATGTGATGGTATATATATGTATGTATGTAGGCATATATGTGTGTGTATATAGGTGTATACATATTTAGATGTATATGCATCTATGTGACTGTATGCACATATATTCATATATATAATGAAGCATATAGGGGGCACAGTTATGAATACTTCTTAGACATAAACAAATACCTCACAGGATTGAATTTCTGGGTTTGAAGATTAAGACCATAGTCTCCTGGGACACCTCAGTCAATTGGCATAATACAGTTCGTAAGGTTATGTTCTACATTTTAGTTTAGTGAATAGTGTCTAGGGTCTTAAAAGCTTGTGAGGTAACCATCTAAAATACAATGATTGGCTTCTACTCCTCCGGAGCAAAAGAGAAAGAAGGAAACAAAAGATTGAAAGAAAAAACTAGTCTACAGGACAAATAGTCTGCACAAAGGATGGCCTCATCTACCCTGAGACCCGAAGAACTGCATGGAGCCCAGCTACCACTGCCAGCCATTCTAATCAGGGCCACAATAGATGGAGCCTGATAGAATGGGAGAGAAATGTGGAACAGGACCTCAAATTCCTAAAAAGAAAAAAACAAAATAAAACAAACACCAGATCTACTGGACTGATTGAGACTGGAGGACTCCCCAAGACTATTGACCTGAGATACTCTTCAAACCTTGAACCAAGACTAACCCCTAAGGTCACCTTGTAGCTAAATAATAAAGGGGCTCAAAAAATAATGAATATCACCCTTAAGCACTGTGCTGCTTTAAAAAATCACCTATATGAGACCAAATGGTCAATAATTAATTTAAAACAAATATGAAAATGTAAGGGGGCAGGGAAACTAGACTAATGGAAATGAAACAGCTAAAACGGAGATAATAAGAATGTTCACACATTATGAAGAATGTAACCAATGCTACTGAACAACTTGTGTAGAAATTGTTGAATGGGAACCTAAACCGATGTGTAAACCTTCACCGAAAACACAATAAAATATTATTAAAGAAAAAAAATGAGAACAGACACAGCACTCTCAAGTCAGTCATTTAAAAGTCCAACCCTATGTAGTAATCAATTTAAAGCTGAATTTTCCACCCTTCCCCAGCTGCTGCCTTTTGCAGGAGGTAAGGTGTACACACTGTTGTACAGAGCTCTCTCTTCCCATGCCTGTGCTTCTGCCTCTCCTCCCCATCTTGCTTACCGAAACCTCTGACCCTTCAGGGTAGAAGAAACAAGCAGGAGGAGAGATAAACAGGAGAAAGTTCTTACTCAGTTGGACAATGTAGTTTTGTGCTTACTGGGCCGGGCATATTTTAAAGATACTTTTGAATGTCTACCTAGTTTTTAAACATTTTTTCTCTTGTGACCACTTTCATGGGTTCTTCCAAAAATCCATTTGAACCTCCTGCCACACTCCATGCCCTTTAATTATTATGGACTTAAGCCTTCAAGAGGTACTGTGGTGTTAGAGGCTATTTGGCAAATATACCAAACATCTACTTTCTAAATGAAGGCTGGGCCCTGAGGTCTCCTAAGGTAGAAGTAGTGGTTTGCTCTCCTCCTAAAGCCTCAGAGCTGTTTGTTTTGTCTCTGACTTTACTGTTCTGTTGTCAGAGTGTCTGCTCTTACTCTGCTCCTATTTTTCCAGACTTATTATTTTTCCTTCCCTTTTCTTTTCCACTCTCTGTGGTTCTTCCCTACTGGACTGAGAGCTCCTTGAGGGCAAGAACATATCTCCAGTGTTTATCACAGTGCTTGGTTGGCATACGTAGCTATTCAATGTTTATTCCAGAGAATAGAATTCTGACCTTTTATAGGAAAAGGTTGCTTATTTGCAACAGAGTGCACACTTATGAACTGTGTGCCGTGAGGAAGTTAGTTACTTTCTTTTGCCTCAGTTACCTCATCAATAAAATGGAAAGAAAAATAGTACCTGCTTCACAGTGTTGTTGTGGGAATTAAATAAGGTAATACATCTAAACTGCATAGAGCAGTGTCTGGCATATAGTAAACACTCAACAAATGTTAGCTATCAGTGTTATTATTATTGTTGTAGTAAGCATAGTTGTAAGGAGCCAAAACCCACTCTTGCACAAAGTAAAGCAATTCCCTAGAATCCACTGCAGGAAATGCAGCCAGCCCTCCTGGGAATAAAGCCAGTAACTGTAGGGTCTGTCTTTCTCTCCCTTTGGCAATTTCTCTCTCCCCATGCATGGTGTCTTATTTACAAGTTGCATTGCTATTCTTCTTTGTTTTCTTTTGGTTATTGCCTTAACTGTAGCTTATATATGACTCTGGTTTGCTATGAGACCACATGTGTCTCCAATTCCAAATAGCCCTTCAGCCCCAAAACCCAACAACAATTAAGTGCAACGTGTGTGTCTCTTAGTGCATCTTCATGAAAAAGACAATTTTATTTCCACAGGCCAGCCAAAAGACTGGGTGTTTTTGAGGCAGAATGCAATCCTTGGTCTACTCAGCTGTGGCCACGCGGAAGAATCAGCCTTCTGCCACCTTGATAAGGGAAGGGTAGGCCACTTAACTAATGAGTGGCCACAAGAACCTATTCTACTTATTGCCTGTCTATCAAAACACTCCTTTATCTCTGGCCCTCACCAGCCAATAAGCACATCAGATTTAATCTTTAGTTCTTCTACTATTCTTGGCTTTTTTAAATTATTTTATTTTCTTAGAGCTCAGTCTGGTTCTTAATCCTAAATATTTTGGGGGAAAGAAAGAGGGCACTCCTTATGGGTTAGAAGTTATTTTGTATACTTACCAATATCAAAATGCTGACCTTCATATAGCCATGCTTTGTTTTATTGTGATATCTGGCATTAATATTTTCTTTAATATTTTGAAGCACTAACATCTCAATCTCATTTGATCCATGTCACCTTGTTCTGTGGATAGGTCCTTTCCTTTTCAGCCCTTATTGCTATCTCTTAATCCTCTACAATTCCTTAAATATTGATATTCTCCAGCATTCTCTGTCCACGCCTTTTATTACTCTCTATGCATAGTTTCAGCTACCACTCCAATTTATACCCCAGTTTGACCCTCTGTGTTGGACTTCAGACCTGTAATAGTCCAGTTACCTATTGGATCTCTCTACTCTAATAAGCACCCCAAGCTCAGTATGTTCTAAGTTGAACTCCTTATTCTCCCCAACTCCCAGCTTCCTCTTCTTCTGTTCCTATGCTGATTAATGTTCCCATGTTCCCATACAATTACCCAAGTCTAGGAATCATCTTAGTCCCCCAAGTAGTGCAAACTTAATGCACTTGGCTGCTAACCAAAAGGTTGCAGGTTCCAGTCCACCCAGAGGTGCCTTGGAAGAAAGACCTGGCAATCTACTTCCAAAAAATCAGCCATTAAAAACCCTATGGAGCACAGTTCTACTCTGACATACGTGGAGTCGCCATGAGTCAGAGTCAACTCAATGGCAACTATACTGTACTGTACTAGGAATCATCTTAAAGTCCTTTTTCTTCCTTATCCCCGGTACTGAATCAGTCTCTTAGTCCTATCCACTCTGTCTTAAATATCTCTTAAATCCATTTCTTCCCTTCATTTTCATGTTTACTTCTTTGGTTCAAGCCTTTATATTTCAATCATAACATCCTTATTGTAAGATCCTCCTGCCTCTAATAATGCCCTCCACAAATCCATCCTCCATGTTACCTTTTTGATATGAAAACCTAATCAGATTTCTCTGCCTAAAACAATGGCTCCCTATCATCCAGATGAAGTCCAAACTCCAACTAGGGCATAACAACCCTTTGTGCTATCACCCCTCCCTGCCACTTCAGCCTTCTCCTCTACCACTACAGCACGTGCACCTGTTAGACAGCAGGTTATATACGTCACTCAATCTGCCTAGACCAGCCTTCCCTATCTAATATGTGTGGCAAATTCCTATTCTTTCTTCACTCTATTTATATTTTGGTTTTTGTGATGGCTTCCCTTACCACCCCAGCTTAAACGTTCTCTATTTGTATCCACTTCTTTGTTAATTTGATTCTGTGTCTAGTGTATAATCTGCACTGATTGGTGTTGATTTATTTATTTGTCTTTCTTATTAAGCAGTGAGTTTCTTGGATCTAGGACCATACTTCTTTCATCTTTATATTCATGGGGTCTAGAATAGTATCAGGTACATCAGGGACAGTAAAGAAATGCTAATTGATTAAATCTTCATAAATTACTTTTGATATTGAATTCTGGCTGATGAAAGGAAGAGATGTTTGGCTCCCTTAGCAATATACA